AGAGAGAGAGAGAGAGAGAGAGAGAGAGAGAGAGAGAGAGTAGAGACTAGAGATTCATGATGCTTTAACTCATTTAAAGTTTGAAGTCTAAGAAGAATTCGATGCATTTTTGAATATATATAAATATATAAATATATATACATGGTGATTCGTATCGAAACATAGTTGGCGTACTTTACCACCATAGAGAACTACGTCCTAGCTCACAACAAGTCACCAAACATCATGATATAACTTTCAGCACAATTCGAACGCCAGACTTCTAGTGAACCTATGAGCAAAACAAAACTTTTGGTGTGGATTAAACTTTAAACATTATATAAATACAAGGAATTCACCTCACAAACATGCAGAGTAGCTTATTCGTTAGTATCATTGTTTAATTATTGTGGAGATAAATATATTTGTACATAAAATCTGCGTGTGCTTTTAAAGATATCAGCTATGGTTGCATGAAGTAGTAGTGATAAAGTTCGCAGGTTCTTTAAATTGGTAGGAATGAAAGGTCCACATTCAAAGTACGGTTAGTCCAAAAAAACAACAACAAAAAACTTTAAAAATAGTTGTTTGAACTCAATCACAGCGTGCTTGTATTCGTGGACAATTCTTTGAGCCGAACAGCAATGAGACATATTGCTATAGGTTTCTATCTACTTACTTAGATAAGTTTTTTTTCCATAAGGTGTTTTTCGCATTTGGTCGAGTTTACATGCTTAAAGGAAGAATATGCCTCAGGTGTGCTGACCCTGATGATCATAAAATGATTCAAACGAAGATTGCAGCTTTTACTGGCTCAAAGGGAAATAATCTACATTATGAATAACACTGGTAAGCGGTACGTACAACTTTCCTCACAATCACTGTTTATTCTATTGCCATTAAACGAGTCGAATACCAGATACCTGGTGGATGGCCCAAAAATAATATATTATGTTAAGCGCCTCACACGCGAGACTCTCAAGAGTGCGTCAGTCTGCAGTCGAGTCCACACCAGGCTACACTTGATCAATTGTTTAATGTGGTCGTGACCCCTAGTCTCTCTGTCGAAAGTCGTACCCGGATACTTAACTAGACATTTCCTCTCTGGCGAGCTGAAGCGTGTGAAATTTAGGGGTCAATGCATACATTTTATTGCAAGAATTGAAATGGGGCATAGAACTTGCACTGGAGTAACTTGAGATACAAACGAGACTAACAAATAAGGGCAATGATCATCGCCTTAAACTGAGTGAAAAAACAGACCTCGCACATCAACACGTAGACAACGGTATTTATTAACTGTTCACGAACTACACTGACTTACCGAAACTGTTCTGCATCACAACGAAACATCCGGCGGAAACTCCCAAAGTGAGAGCGACGAAAGCATCTCGTGAGCTTCCTTTGGCTGTCAGATTGAAGATTTTCAAATCGGAAATAAAATCAACGAGATGTTTACATGAGGTCGAGAACATCTATTAATTATAATCTCTGACGACGCGCAAAACACCACGGACATCGGCAATGAAACTCTTTAAGTGTGGCACAACACTCACACAAATGTATGCTCGACGAGTCCTAGCAAACGAACAACATACGGTATTTGAGAAACGCCCAACTGATGGCCCCTAGAACAGGAGGAATGGCAGCGTCACCCATCGTCGTATTCTTCATCAAGGCGGTCCAGCTAGGTTCAATGTCCGCCGTATGATGACAGCGAAACACCTCCCGTGCTGTGCCGGTGGCTCCTTCTACAGATAATGCGCTCTGCCAAATGCATATTCGAGGGGGTGACATTGAGGAAGCGTTCCATAAAAAATGCGATCTGCGCACGGATGATGAACGACACCGCCACAGACAAGCCGTTTGATCAGGCAGTGAAGTGGTTTGTAAAGAATATCTAATAGATCCTGGTACACTACATCAACGCTGCTTGGATATTGAAAAGTTGCGCGTCGAAATAACCAGCATCTCGCGGGATTCTTATTCTTGAGCAGTATCTAGTCCAGGCAAATATAAATTAATGATACGACCCACAAACATGCTCACAAACATGGCAGCTATAGGTATACAGGCAGTTATACACCCAGGGCAGGGTACAAAAGTACGCACATGTACCACGTGTAATAATACGCAGATACGGTCCAGCAATTTAGTCAGAAAAGAAAAATATATTAATACTGTTCTTCATTTGATCTATACAAAATAAAAGTATATTAGTAGGAGAAATAAATGCAAACACAACCATCATTACCTACACAGACAAAACAACAAACACACACATACATATACATACATATGTGTGGTGCAAGTATGAACAACCACATAATGCAAGTATGATAATTTAATTCAACACACAGACACAGACACAGACATAAATATATATAGGTACATATTTACAGATATATATAAATATAAATACATATATATATAAATATTTGTATATGTATGTGTATATATATACATATCTATATATATATGAAACAAACAAGTAAATACACACACACACACACACACATAT